ATTTCACAACCCAGTGTGTATGATCTAAGTAAAAGGCCGCATATCTCAAAGATAGGCTTAGGTAACCACATGGCCTTCATAATTGTAGGTTTGTGTGGAGTTAAGATTTTCATACCTTGATAATGATAGATTAAACCACATGTTTTGAAAGGGGTCAAGTTATACACAGCAGGATTTTCTATGCCACACAGGTCATTTACAACAATTTAGGATGATTGTCAACATTAAATGATTTTATTCGTTACAGCATGAAAACATCCTGCAAATATGCTAATAATACTTAATACTATTTAGTTTAATCATGGGGACTTGCTCCCCGCACATTAAGGAAGATATTAAATAGCAATATCCAGTTTTTTTTAAAATTCATATTCATATACATGCTATAGATATCTAATCAAGTCCTTGTACTGACATTAAACCTCTTTCTTTCATTTAATCTATATATATATTAACCAAAATATTGTGAACAAACTCATTTGACTAGTTATGTTTAAATTTAGGGATGACATATTTACCACAGAATCATAACCTTTAATAGCACAAGAGATATTTTGATAAGACCGCCATTTAATCAATATCTCTGTTTAATTAAAGGAATTGATGTCTGGATGTGCATGACCACAGACATTTTTTTTTTCAAACAAAATGGCAATTTGAGGCATGTTAACTTTTTTTCACAACAATAAATTTATAAAAAATACTGTTTATCATACATTTTTAATGATAAGCAGAAGCATAAATAACATCATTATGAGGTTTATGTTTCTACAATAACTTTGTTATTGAGTAAACTGTTCCAATAACTTATTGTTTTACTAAACAATTTCAACTGTTAATGTCCATGACCTTTTCAGACTTTTGGCGAGAACACGACAAACTAATTATGCTAGGGCATTGATTGTAATCAACAGTTTAAGTATAAAATTGAGACCGAGAGTATTATTTCGAATTAAAATTGCATGTTCAACCATTTTGATATCAATCGAGCAAAGGATCTTTTTTAAAGAAAAAAAAATGCTCGGATGCTTCATCGATTTCTGATTTACACATGCAGACGATCAAACAATATATTCACCAAATGCATCCACAAAATTTATCATTGAAAGAATCTACTTACCCCATAAACCAATCCATAGTATCACGAAGATACTCTGGTAGCCTGTCCAGTTTGGTTGTCTAAAGTTCTTTTGTAGTATATCGTCAATTTATCTCACTTGATTGCTTCAAAACAATACATCAAAGCAATATGGCGATGGTTGAACAAAGTCACTGCAATACACAGAAGAGTTCTAACATGGGAGATAAGTAAGCCTAATGATAATATAGCTCTTTTAGTTAAATATTATCCATACATTTATTGTTACAATTAAAATATAATAGAAACATATACCAAGGATATTTCACACACGATTATACGTAATTGATGAACAACAAAAAATGAAATTGAAAATATCATCCTGTAGAAAAATATACCTGGCTACTTTCATTATGCCTTCCAGATACAGGGACTTTCTCAAGAATCATTTTCGACACCACGCAAGTCCCATGGGCCAAAACGCTCACATAAAATACGTAACTATAAGCTTGATCTGAACAGGAAGCATTACATTTCCCTGGAAATTTTGTACAAAATAGTCTCTAAGAATATGAAACTTTCGATTTCTTCGAAATAGGCCTAACAGGATGTACATGTAGGCCTTTGATTTGAACAAATGTCAAATCAAACCCTGTACTCTCCCTCGCTCTCATCGGTTACACTGATTGAATGGCGGGTTAATAAATAACAGAGATTCGAACCTCTGCCATAATTTACGGGTTCATTTGGTAAAATATGTCAAGGACCCGGCATTATTCTTAAAATACTCTTAATTAATATTATACGTATCTACCTGTGTACAATTTGTAAAGTTTCAAAACTAAACATTGATGAAATAAAGCAAACTAGGTAAATAAAAGGGTCGGTGATCGAAAGTTAGCAAAATCTCGGAGGTAACTCACCTGTTGCTTTCTTTGTTATTGTATTGCCTTCAACTCGACATTTAAATATATCAATTGTCAGCAAATACATTATACAATCTATCATTAAGTCGAATGCTGACGGACGTTTTCATACAATTAAATTTTTAGGCCATTATTTACACATTAAATTGTCTACAGATTTTTCCGTTAGCCCGATCATGACAATGAGCACACGGCGGGTGTGTCTGGTCGACAGGGGATGCTTACTCCTCCATGACACCTGATCCCACCTCTGCTCGTTATCTTCATGTTTTATAAAGAAGTTTACGAAATCAAAACATTTAAAACAAAACGTTGATATGAATAAAAAAGTTTTACTTCGTTACCTTTGATTATTTTTAAGATTTATGTGATCTATACCGTGCCATATTTGAAAAAAAAGTAAACAATACTCGCCAGATATCGCGAGATTTCGAATAGATGCGAATCTCTTATATTTTATGTCTTTATTATAGGAAGACTAACTCTAACTCGCGTTACTCAATTTGTTTGCACTCACTGTTGCAGTTATGAGACTACATTTTTCAAAAAATAATTCAATGCTTATAAATAAAGTGTGTGGAAAGCTACGAGTTAAATTCTGCAACACAGACGGGAGGGGGGGTCAAAAGGTTAAAGTATAATTCTTATTTTAACGTCACAAACGTTGTTCAAACGCGTGATTGTGCAACGTCATTAGAGAAATCAGAATTCACGCTCACGTTGAACAGTTTAACGGTCGTAGCCGTTCCAATGGCTCTTCCATTAATTGTAATTTAGCCAAAAGACAATACAGGGATTTTGAAATATAAATCACATTTGCAGACAAGGCAGGGTGTTAAGAAAATGTGAATATAAGCACTGAATTATTATTTTTGAAAGATATGGTCTCATACATGTAACTGCAATGGTGTTTGCAAACAAATTTTCTTAACGCCCTAACGCGCATTACTCAATTTGTTTGCACGCACCGTTGCAGCTTTAAAAATAATAATTCAATGCGTTGCCAATCATTGTTGTTCTTACATGTTTCGGTGTCAGTTAATCGACATAATGAAAACCTATTTTTAGCCGTGTATAAACGTAACTTCTTAATCATTTACCACGCATGTGATCATTTGACTTGCCTAGTGCACATGTTACATGTACGAGTGTTTATTTTTGACATTAATGTACTTGTGTATATAAATTATACAGTTTTAAACTGAGACAAATGACACAAACAAAAATTTGGATATATGGATTGGTATATATTTTAGAACCTATTTTGGTTGTTAATGATCGATATAAATATCGAATTTCTAAAATAAATTATTAAGAAATGGTAAATTTTCTATGATGTTCGAAATCCTACCTTTCACTTTATAGGACATTACTGAGAAACTCTCACTGAATAATTAAAATATATGCTGTTAAACTCACTCTTTTTACTTGATACTTATATGAACATGACTTTAGTTGCTATTTTCAAGTCTTTAAAAAACAAGATGTGTTTGTAAAACACTGATGCCCCCGTATGGCAGCTCAAGGCCAAGGTTAAAGTTTTTTTCAAATGTAAGTCAAACTCCAAGGTCAAGAGTTAAAAAAAATGTTGAAACCAAAAGAATGGTTTTATCACAAGGAATATATTACACATGTGAAATATAATAGCTCTAGTAGCAACCATTCAAAAAATAAGGCCAAGGTTAAACTTTAAAAAAAAAAAAATATGGTCATACTCCTGTGGCGGTCAGGCGGGTTTGATCGCCGGTGGCCAGATAGTTCAGTTGGTAGAGCACCTGACTGGAGATTCAGGGGGGCCCGGGTTCGAATCCCGGTCTGGTCCACTGTATTTTTCTCCTCTCCCGTTACATTTGGTGCCGTGCCATGCCCTGGAAGTGACAGGTGAGAGGCCTGCCAGGGATGAGCCTGGGTTGGAGTCTTTGGGGGGGCCAAAGACCTTTAAGGAGGGAGGAATGTGGCGGTCAGACGGGTTCGATCGCCGGTGACCAGATAGCTCAGTTGGTAGAGCACCTGACTGGAGATTCAGGGGGGCCCGGGTTCGAATCCCGGTCTGGTCCGCTGCATTTTTCTCCTCTCCCGTTACACTCCGAGGACAATGTCATGAGGACAAAAAAAATAATGATACCAAAGGAAAAGTCTTACCACAAAGAATGCGTAAGTGAGAAATGAAAGCCCCTAGCAGCAACCATTCAAAAGTTTTTTGTTTTGTTTTGTTTTTTCAAATGTAGGTAAAACCAGGGACCTATATACTTATTATATAGGTCACTGGTAAAACTCGATGGTCAAGGTCATGAGGTAAAAAAATTATTGGTACCCAAAGAAAGGAATACACATGTGATACATGAAAGGCCCAGCATCCACCGTTCATGCAAAAGTCATGACAAGGGTTAAAGTTTTTCAAAAGTAGACCAAACTCAAAGGTTAAGGTCAAAAGGTAAAAAATATAGGTAGAAAGGTCTTGTCACAAGGAATACACATGCGAAATATGAAAGCCTTAGCAACAACCATTTAAAAGTTATGGGAAAGGTTAAAGTTGTTGCTGACAAAACGGATTAACAGACAGACAGACGGATGGACAGACCAAAAACTATATGCCACCAAATCTTCGATTACGGGGGCATAAAAATTTAAAAAGTGTGTAGTCTCATCTGTCCTTATAATATTATACATGTACATATATTACATGTATTTGAAAACTAGTGTAAAACCGTTGTCCAAATCGGGCCAATGCCATCTTGGAACACAATTGAAAATAATATTAAATCCACAAGCTAAAGAAAAAACACATAAATAGATTGAAAATATCAAGTAATGAACTATCTTAAGAGATACAAACTGTAAATCACAATAAAATTGTTTTCTTCTTCTTCTTCTTCTTCTTTTTTTTTTTTTTTAATTTTTTTTAATCTCTATATTTCATGTTTTGATTCCACCCCTTTTCAACGATTCGGAACTCTTCCTAAAAGAAGGTAACTGTAGTCAGTATCCAAGCTAAACATGGCGAATGTTTGATAAACTTTGTCCTTCTTGTAAAAGTTGTAAATATATTAAAATATTTACAATATGTAACAATGACAAATCCAGGAAAATGTTATTAAAATGTTAAAAGTCATTATGACAGCTGTTAGTAAAGGTAGGTCTCGCTACATTTGTCACAATCTTAGCAAATGTCGGGCAGTCCTTCTGGCCTAGATAATGTTATTATAATCCGAGATTCCTCTGACTCTAACCCCTGCTTTTATATTTTGACATGTGCAGGGGAGAGACTCTCCCCTGCACATGTCAAAATATAAAAGCAGGGGTTAGAGTCAGAGGAATCTCGGATTAATGTTATTACTGACATATGTGCACTTGAATCGTGTATTCCACTTGATCGTTTGGTATCTTTAATGATAGAATAATTTCTTCCTTTGATATGATTAGAATCTTGAGCAAATGATTCAATTCTCCAATTTTCGATTTCGAATTTATTTATAATTATCTTTTACGTACATAGAAAATTTTGCATGCATTAGTGCCATAAAGGTCCACAAAGAAAGTGTTTCTACAGCATGATTAATGATTAACTCATTGACTTCTGGGAGCAGGATATGAATTGCTTGACTTTTTCAGGGACCTATATATTATATATGGGTCCCTGACTTTATGAGTTAGATATGACATTTAATTCCAACATCACTGCATATAAACTTATAATGTGTTATTAAAAAGTCTATCATATTGCCACCATTGCAGCTTTTTAGAGTAATACACTCCTAATACAAATAATGTCTTGGATACACCAAAGAAAATAATATATTGAATACCTGTACCTGATCTTGGCTATCACTTGTGATGGCTGAATCTGCATGAGCAGCGAGATCAGTGGTGGATATCCAACCAAAAAAAAATGCATGTTTCGTCATATTTTCCAGAAATCTAATGCAATCCACACAAAATTGGCTGGTCCATTTAACATATCCGGTAAATGTCATGCAACTCAATATTTCAAAATCAAATTAAGACTACTGATAAATGTGTTAGTTCCATCTTATACATTTATCTACCCTTATAAACAAAAGATTGTAATTTTTTAGTAAAAGTACTCAAAATACCAAATGGCTTGTAAAAAAAAAATAATTTCACAATTGCAGCCTAATATGTACTAACATTCAATCCAACACTTGCACAAGTCCTGGAATAGATGATCAGCATTTATTTACCTTAGATTTTAATCTCAGTTTGTCTAGATGAAAACTACAATGGAAATTTCAAAGTGACAAGTGCAAGTTTAAAGCCATGCCATTAAAATTATTCAAATGTAATAGAAATTTTCTTAGCTTTCATTCAGAAACATGTTTACAATCTCTCTTTCTTTCTTTCTTTCTTTTTTTTTTTTTTTTTTGGTTATCATGGTTATGATACTGAGAAACACATTTAATTTTTTGGGAGGGTGGATCTTATCTTATTTTTCAAGACCATGACTCATGTTTTAAGGAAATTGGTATTGAAATCAGCAAATACGAGTATTTATGGTGGATTTTCATATGTGTGCTTCTACAGCTTTCTTGGCTTTAAATTCATTTCAAAATTAAAAGTGCTGACACATCTGGGTTTGCAGATATTTGTATATTACTTTATTCTTTTTAAATAATCACACCTGATAACCAATAAATGGAAATATTGTTGCTATTTTATATCTAAGTTTCTTTTATGCCCATGCATGTATGTTGAAAACATTTTTAACAAAAGAGCATGTGCAATTAAAACCTCAGATAAGTTTTAGACATGTTTGAAATTAAATATTCGATTTTTGTAATTTCTTTTTAGCTGCTGGATAGTTAAAATGAATTTATAAATAGACCACTGTATTGTTTCCTTCTCTTTTCTTGTTTTTCTTTCTAGAATGTTTGTTTAATGAATTAATATACTTATAGTGTGTATTCAGCTTGGCCCTGATGTAGGGAGAGGGCTGATATAGTCTAGTTCTGCTGCCCAATCCCATTCACTTTTTGTGAACAAAATTATGTATAAATAAAAAAGATACAGATTAATAAATTTATGTTTAGAAGAGATCTAAGGGGTAAAAAAGTTGTCATAATTTATTAATTATGTTGTTCTGTATTGAAAATTATTACCACACATGCAGCATGTATAATGTACCTATATCTTTTTCTTACTGAATTCAAGATAAAAATAGTAAAATATCCTGACTACAATTTTTAAAAGATCATCATTTTTAGCATCAGCATATTTTATTGGTATATTTGTGGTAAAACTGTATACAAAATTTTAAATTTCTAAATGTCAGTTTCAAAAAAACTGGCACAAATGTGATGGTTACTTCTTTCAATATATACAGTGTAGGACAATTTTGGCTGACCTGCTTTTCCACGATTTTATTTTTGGAACCTTGTTGCTTTTCCTTGACTACTTTATACTGCTTTTCTGCGATTGGTTTTTACTATATGTTATGTGTTATCTCCTTTTTTTAGATCCATTCTGCGATTTTTAAATGGTCACGCTTAGCAATTTACATCAAACAGTTGCCAATATTTACCTGTATTTCCAAAAGTTTTCTACTCGGTAGTGAGTACTTACACATGGTGATAAAAATTGAATGAATCTCACATTTCACACAGGTCGGTGATAAGTTTTAGATGTTTTAAATTGTTGATACAGAAATGAATCGGGGGAACAAATGTATAATCTACAATGGATTTACATACAGAAAAGTAAATGTTTTAAAGAGTGGGGATGTGTGATACTGATGCTGTGTTAATAACATCTGCAAAGCCATGATTACAACTGATACTGAAGGAATTGCCGTGGTGAAAACGAAAAATACTCACAACACCTCAGTTATGAGATCCTACTGCTTAAAATCCTACTTCCACCTCCCCGTTACTAGTTAGCAGGGGGCAACATGTTTTACCTGCATGGGTAACAGAATAGGTACGAAAAAAGGTCTCAGAAAAGCTTAAAATTATAATCGCAGAAAAGCAGTAAAACTTGTCACGGAAAAGCAGGAATTTTTTCGCGGAAAGTGAAACTGCGACAACTTTGAGATTTAAATAAAGGAAAAATGAAAAGTATTTCAGAATCCTGGTTAGGGCATTGGCATAAATTTTAATGGTGTTGGAAATTCTACACACACAAATAAAAGTATCATTTGAAGGTTGGAGAAAGACATAAACAAAACATGCACATTCAATTTTAGATTACAATGGATTGAAATCCTAAGACAACTTTAAACAAGTGTTTGGTAATGGTTTTATTGAAGTAGACTTTTAAATTGCTAAATCATTCCCTTTAACTGCAAACATGGTTGACTTATGACTACAGTGTTAAAATAAGAAGCAACATTGAATTCAAAGAATATCTTAACCACATTCATTTCAAAGGAAAAATTGTCAGCAGTGCAGCCAGTCAAGTTAAAGGTCAAAAACTGAACTTGCCTTTAAATATTGCTATACTTGACTACATCTGCTTAGTTTGGGTTTTGAAGAGACTAATTGATTTTTGGTATCTAATGTCTATCATGGGGTTTTTATGAGAGTTATCGAATGAACACATTTTCTGGTCACCATGGATTATTCATAGATTTACTGTGTGAGTCCTTCCTCATTCAAATGTAATGCTTTCCTACAGGATCTGGAATATTGATTCTCTTTGATAACCTTTAATTGCAGGTCTGTTAATTCTGTCAACATGCAGCATGCATACTATTGTCAAAGTAGAAGTTGGCATCCTCATAAATTCTTCAATTGGTTTTCTTTTGTATAGATTCAAATTTGTAGCCAGACACTGAAATGTTTGCAGAAGTTATAACCCCACAAACATTGTATTCCTCAGACATGTATTTAAGCAAATATTTACATTGAAGATACAAAACCTGTACATTTGGAATGTGTTGGTGAATTTGAGGAATTATATCTTTCAGTAAAACCTCTGCCATTGGGCAGTGGCACCGGACTCAAGGGTCCAAGGTCACAGCTCAGGACATTCCAGTCACAGAGTAGTCCTGTGTATAAAGTCCAGACAGAGTCCGCTAATGGCATGAGGGGAGTCCGTAACAACAGAGTGAAGGACAGGTAAGTGGACGGTTGATATAATTTTTAAATTCCTTTTTTACATGCTCAGTACATCTGAGTCCAAACCAGGAAGTTTTGTAACATGGATCATATAATACTTGTACAAAATACAGATGGTTGTAGCAAATTTTTGTGTCACTTGCAGAGCAGAAGGAAAAAAAAGAACAGTTCATAAGCATTGCTTATGACAGCTTATCAATTCAGTGAAACTAGGAGTCTTACTATGTTTTATTAGATATTTTAAAATTGGGGGAGGGGGGGGGGGGGTAGGAGAAGACACTTTCTTAAGTGAAATATGGAGATAACGAACGGTATTCAAGCTCAAAGTCCATTAAAACAATACAAATCAGGAGCAAAGCAAACACAGACCTGCAAAAACATCAGAGGTGGGATCAGGTGCCATAGAGGAGTGAGCATCCACTACCCACCGGTCACACCCACCGTGTGCTCCTTATCATGATCAGTAAATAACGGAAAAATCTATCAACAATTCAGTGTGCAAAAAATGGCCTAAAATTAGTATGAAAAACGTCAGTCAGCATATGGCTTAATGATAGATTGTATTTGCTGACAAGGTCATTGTATCGGCCATAGAACTTACGAAATGATGACTTTAAATGAGACCATTGATATTATTGTTTCATCAGCTTGTTTGTCAATAACTTACCTCATTTTAGAAATTGTTCATACGTATAGTATGCTCTTGCATATCGAATCAACTTCAGATACCTGACTCTCCTTACCATTTTAAGAGGAGAGTGTGACATTTAATAATTAAGAAAATTCCAAGGGGTCCAGACACCCACCCCCACCTCTCTCTAGATCTGCCCTTGTAATAGAAGATATATAATTTAGGTATTTCAGTTTGTATTGTTATGCAGTCTATGTTTTCAAAATAATGTACGTGTAACTTGCCCATATATCATTATTGCAGGATAGCTCTAATGTACATGACTGTCACTTTTACAGGAGAGGAATATTTACAGTTGGAGGAAACAGTGACAAGACCAAAGTGAAATCTTTGGAGGATGTTGCCATAGCAATAAAGAGTGATGCATTCCAGAACATTGTAGTGGTGGCAGGAGCTGGTATCAGTACCCCAAGTGGGATTCCAGACTTCAGGTAGAAAACCGTTTTTTTTTTTTACTCCATATCTATTCATTACCTGTTATTGTTTCTGTATATTAAGCATTTTCTGAGAATGTTTTCTTCCCCTTAATCATGAAATCCTTAATCAATTTTTTTTTTTTATAAAAAGACACAAGGATTTTGAAGTGTCTTTCGGTCATTATTAAGGAATGAGAATTAGAGAAAATGCTGTAACTAATGAGTACACATAATGGAACCTTTTCTTCCTATTGCACAACTGAATTTCTTCATACTATGTGTCTCCTTTTATTGTGTGGATCATGATCACACACAACCCAGTACATGTAGTATGAGGTCTTAGCTTTCATTATTATGATATCAAAATAACTAAAATGCTTGCTATTGTTTCTGTAACAGAAACAAAAAAAATAGAATTATTGCTTGGGAGTGATAAAACAATATAACAGCAATGGGAGACGGTATTTTCAAACAGAATATTACATGTAGTTTTGGTGGCTTTCCCACTTTCTACCATCGGCTCATACATTCACCTCTGGCTCTGTCTTTGGCTTGTGTTTATCACTGTGTTAAGCAAGAAATAGTGTGTTTGTTTTAATTCATTATGATTAAATTCCTTCACTAATGTTTGTCTTTTAAGGTATGTATTTACTAAGTAGATCTAGAACTATTAGTTTAATTTGAAATAATCCTTGGAAGATCATGTTTTTTACCTTATTTCAATAATCTTGACGTGGGCCAATTGCAGAGGTGTCTGAGAGGGGAACACATGACAATTCTGTAAGGGAGATTGTGGCTTTCTGTGTACAGTATTTTACCTTGACAGCTGGACTCAACTTTTGGATCAACTTTGCATTTGGCAAGATCATATATGTCAAGGTTAAAGGTCAAATTGGACCTTGTTACTCCCCTATAAAATTGGAAGGGCATCATTCTTGAGCATATCTTGTTCTCCCGTGATCTGGAAAAATTTAAAATAAAACATTTACCCGGTACACATGTACAAGCCAACACCCAGACTAGAAATGAAATAATTAAGTAATTAACTACTCACCTTGACTTGATGAGAAATGTTCTACTCTGTTGCTGAAACCACAATCAACAGTACTAGTATTTGTGTGCATGTCAGATATTTCTGTACTGTCTTCATCTTCCTATAGGACTCCTGGCACTGGTCTCTATGACAACCTCCAGCAATACAGAATTCCCTACCCAGAAGCCATCTTTGACATAGAATTCTTCCATCACAATCCAAAGCCTTTCTTCACTCTTGCCAAAGAACTGTATCCCACTGGAAAATATAGACCTAATTACATACATTATTTTGTACGCCTTTTACATGACAAGGGGATGTTACTCCGCATGTACACACAAAATATTGATGGCCTTGAGAGAAGTAAGAATTACAACTTATGATTTCATGTATATTTATTGTATTTAAAGCATCATAAGTTAAAAAATCTTGAAGGATACCAAGTGAATGTATTAACTTAATAAAATTCTGCAATGATCGGCTGAAGTTGTAAACCATATGTGTTACAGTTGCTGGCTTACCTCCTGAAAAAATGGTGGAGGCCCATGGCACATTTTCTGAGGCCACATGCCTTATATGTAGACAGAAACATGACAAAGAGGAAATCAAAGTAAGTCTCTTCCTTTCATTAGGGGATATAATGTAACTTTTAAAATGACAGAAATATTTTACTTGTATTTTAGTTCTGTGCCATTGACAGTAAAACTTGGTTATAGTGAAGTCCTGGGGACCTGTGAATTTACTTCACTATATATGTATTTTGTTCAATCCATATAATGAATTTGTTAAAGTATATATAGGGCAATACATGTAAACATGTTTTCCTTCAAATTTGACTTCTGAATATGATCAGGGAAATATCACAAAATTTACCATGGAGTACTAAATTTTTCTGATGAATTGCATTTTAAATATAAATATTTATGAAATATTTATGAAAAATTATGTAAGTTCAATATTTCAAATTTTGAAATCTTTAAAAAATTGCTATAAAAGATGTAAATTTCGTTAGTTTTAACCTCTGTGGGATACAAAATCAGTTTGATATATCTGTAAATTCGTTTTATCAGAGTGATTGGGATCACGAAAAACTTCTCTATATCCAAAAATTAGCTATATCCATGTTTGTACTAAACAAGTTTTACTGTAATATATATGGTTATCCTTTGTGCTCTTATGTACATTCATAGCTAAATATGCAGTATCCAGCGCATGCGCAGATAATGACCACTAATTCACAGAAACAATAAAATATGGATATACAGTGCAAAGGATTCAGAAATTAACTAGTAAAGTGTGTGATGGATTTTGAAATTATGCCAAGAAGTAACTAATAACAACATCTTTTTTAGGGAGCAATATTTTCTGATAAAATACCAAGGTGCAAAAAACCAGGATGTATGGTATGCATTTCCATTTAAATAAATTTTGTTTAATTGGTTACTAAGGAAACACACATACATTTCAAATTTTGAAGTTCTTGATAATCTTTTAATATTAGTTTTGAGAAGAGAATAAAATTACATGTATGATATTTTGTAATTTCCTAGCTAAAAGAAGTCATATAGCAGAGAATACACAGATGAGTACTTAGATACATATATTTTCAGGGAGTTGTGAAACCTGATATAACATTTTTTGGAGAAGACTTACCCAAAAGATTTTATTTTTACATGAGGGACATGCTTCAGGCTGATCTGATCATTGTCATGGGGACATCATTAGAGGTTTGTTGATGAACAGTTGCTTTACTCATGAAATCTTAACTTCCTGTCACCTGCAAAGTAGAGTAATTAACACTTAGGGATCACTTTGCAGGAATCTGTTGTTTGGTTTTCTGGAAAACTGTTGATTGGATTTTCTTTTGAATTTATGATTTTTATTGATCATTTTTTTTATTAATTTTGAAGATAAAAAAGGATAACTATATTAAGGAATCCATGACTATGTTATGTATTTCAGGTTCAGCCATTTGCTGGGATCATTGACTCGGTGAAGTGGGGGGTACCTCGTGTCTTGTTTAACATGCATGCCGTAGGACCATTCAAATATCAGAGACGAGCTCAGGACTTCATTTCACCAGGTTACTAAAACACTATCAGTTTTAATGTTTTAGGAATTGTTTTCCAAGTTCACCTGAGCCAGAGGTTCAAGTTAGCTTTTCTAATCAAAGTTTGTATGTTGTATCTGTTGTCATTAACTTTTATCATTTTTGAAATTGTCTTCTGAACCACAGGATTAACTCATCAACCAAACTTGATGCAAAGCATTCTTATATGCAGGAGGTTTTTTTTTTTATAAATGAAGGCCCATGCATTCCATTCAAGGGAATGTGGTCACAAAAGGAGAAGGGGGGAGTGGGTCCGTTAAACATCTTTTTTAGCTCACCTGAGCCGAAGGCTCAAGTGAGCTTTTCTGATCAAAATTTGTCCGTTGTCTGTCGTCGTTGTCGTCGTCGTCGGCATTGTTGTCGTTGTAAACTTTTCACAATTTCATCTTCTTCTCCAGAACTACTGGGCCAATTTCAACCAAACTTGGCACAGAGTATCTTTGGGTGAAGGGGGTTCAAGTTTGTTCAAATGAAGGGCCACACCTTCTTCCAAGGGGAGATAATCATGAATTCATGAAAAATTAATGGCATCATTTAAAAATCTTCTTCTCAAGAACCACTGTGCTTGGAAATATGAAACTTATATGGAAGCATCCTCAGGTAGTTAGATTCAAGTTTATTCCAATCATGACCCCCGGGGGGTAGGGTGGGGCCACAATGGGCGATCAAAGTTTTACATAGGAATATATAGGAAAACTCTTTAAAAATCTTCTTCTCAAGAACAGCAAAGCCATGATTGGTCATATTTATATGGAAGCATCCTCAGGTAGTGTAGATTCAAGTTTGTTCCAATCATGACCCCCGGGGGTAGGGTGGAGCCACAATGGGCGATCCAAGTTTTAAATAAGAATACATAGGAAAAATCTGTAAAAATCTTTTTCACAAGAACAACAAAGCCATGATTGGTCATATTTACATGGAAGCATCCTCAAGTAGTGCAGGTTCAAGTTTGTTCCAATCATGACCCCCGGGGGTAAGGTGGAGCCACAATGGGTGATCAAAGTTTTACATACAGCGCAGGGAACTAATTTTGTTACATAAACCAGCATAAGCATTAGTAGCGTCGGGATCGAGCTAGCATCAGCATCAGCATTTAAAAAACAGCATTACCAGGATCAGCATCAGCAAGCAAAGGATAAAACCAGCATTGACCTACATAAAATCAGCATTATCCTACTAGCATCAGAAAATCAATGAGTTTTAATTCAGTAAAAAATTAAAAAAGAAAGAAAGAATATTGGTTAAAGTATTCACATTATTGATACATAGTGAGATATTATGATCAAATAATTGTAAAAGGCACTTTTATTGCTTTAAACGGCAATGCTGAAATTCATTATCTACTTCCGGTAGCATGATGCTACTTCCGGTAGCATTGACCTAATTATAAAACAGAATCAGGATAAGGATTACTAGCATTAAATCAGCAAGCAAAGGAAGCATTCAAATCAGCAAGCAAAGGAAGCATTCAAATCAGCATCGATGCTGTAACAAAATTAGTTTCCTGCACTGTAAAATACATAGGAAAAATTTGTAAAAATCTTTTTCTCAAGAACAGCAAAGCCATGATTTTTTTTTTTATGGGTGCATCCTCAGGAAGTGTAGATTCAAGTTTGTTTAAATCATGACCCTCCAGGGGTAGGGTGGGGCCACAATGGGCGATCAAAGTTTTACATAGGAATACATAGGAAAAAGCAAGCCTTTTAAAATCTTCTTCTGAAGAACAGCAAAGCAATAATTAGTCATATTTAAATGCAAGCATCCTCAGGTAATGTAGATTCAAATTTTGTTCAAATCATGCCCCCCCCCCCAGGAGAATAGAGGGGCCATAACAGGGGATCATAGTTATACAAAGGAATACAAATGATATATCAATAAAATTTGTCTTCCTAAGAACAGCATAGCCATTATTTGTCATATTAATTCAAAAGCATCCCTTTGAAGTATAGATTCAAGTTCAAATTACCCCCCCCCCCCCCAAACCACTTTTATATCAAAACTTTTCAAGACTCAACTGATTTCTGCTTTTTCCTAGCCAGAGTGCTCAGGTGAGCGATGTGGCCCCTGGGCCTCTTGTTCTCAATAACCACATGATCAGGGAAAAAAACTTGCAGCATAAAAATTTCACTGTGTTGTTTAAATTGAAAATTACCATAGTCAAGTCATTGCCACAGAAGCTAGAATATGGCTGCAATAGGGGTTCAAAGTTTTAAATAGGATGATTTTAGACATAATAGAAAATTCTTCTAAAGAACAGTATGGCCACATTTACTCATACATATATTAAAATTTATGTTGATGTATCCATTAAGATAGATATTCAAGAGTATACAAATCAAGGCCTACAGGTTTTGATTACAGTTGGAGATTACAGGAATATATATAAAGAAACAGTCTTAAAAATCTCATGCATGGCTTCAATTAGTCAAGTCAATGTGCAAAAATACTGCATGTGTACTTAAAATAGCGGGCTTCATATTTTAGCGGCTTTGGCGCGGACAACAATGCACTAATTCATGAATACCACTAATAAATCATTTATAAATACAATATATGGCAAGTTTGTGTGTAGCGCTAATTCATGAGTACGCCAACAACTCAATACCCAGTGATTGCGCCAAATTTTGAATACCCCAATTAATGTACACGTACAGTATATCTATGTAGTTGATTAAAGAATTATCCAATCATAGTCCTAAGGCTATATCAAATGAATTTTACATTTCATATTCTTAATTCACAGATTGGTGAAATTTTTGAAAGGACAGAATTTTGTTTTTAAAGTATGAGAAATTGTTTCAGGTGACCTCATTAACAGTGCTCAGAAGTTCACAGACCTATTGGGATGGAAAGATGAAATGGTGGAACTTATTACCAAAGAGGAGGGCAGATTTGTTTTAGTAAGTCTACTAAAAATGTTTACCTTTGAGAAAGGAAAAATGATAATCACTTGATAAGTGAGATATAATCAATCAAGAATTTAAAAGATATGTTGTACCAGAACGTGTACAATGTAGGTGTTCTATCAGCCAGTACATGTGTACAATGTACAGTTGAACTTTGTTATCTCAAACACTGATATCTCAGTACCATGCATATGCTGAAGTAAGTTGGAATTCCCAGTCACTTTTTTATGTATTTTAACCTTGATATCTTGAACCATTGGATATCTCAAAGTTTTTTCTCTGTCCCATCAAGTTTGAGATAATGAGGTTTGACTGTATGTTATATATCTTTTTTTCAATGTACGTAATATAAATATGGAAATGTATGCATTTAGAAAAATTACAACTGTTTTTTATTTTGATGTAGAAATACTTTCATAGAATGCATGTAAACCAGTTTTTCTGCTTCTTCAGTGCTCGCCAGACTACGCAAAGAAAATGAAAGAAATGCAGCAAAGACCACCCCCTCCACCCCCTAAAGATCCACCAATTAGACTTTGGAGACAGCCAGCTAAACTTGATTTATTCAGCTCAGAATCTGAGAGCTCATCAGAAGCTTCAGAGACAGAATCAGAATCCTCCGACGAAGATGAAAGACCAAAAAATATTCGCAAGAACAACAATTACAGAAAAGGACTAGGTGTGACAAGGAGTGCCCCAAAAGGAGGCAGTAAAAATGACCTTGACCTGAAAAGGAATGGCAAACCTGGAGTGAATGGAAAAAGGAACTACAGCACAAGTTCACCGCTAACAACCAGATCAGAGAGAGCTGTAGGAAAAACACGGAATCATGCTACTGCTACAAAAGTAACAAGTGAAGTCAATCAGGTAGCTACACGCTTTGACAAAGTCAGTGTACGTACTAGATCCAACACACCCGACTCTATAAAAGGGAAGCCAGCCAAAGAAAAGTCTATACGAAGGACTGTTTCTGATAGAAGTTTGAAATCTAATATAGCTGGTGCTAGTCGCCCTCCACTACAGAGATCAAACTCTGCAAAATCCATAAATGAGAAAGAGGCAAGCAATAAAAAAGATCAGAAAGTGACTGAAATTCGAAAATCAGCCAGTGATTCAAAATTTGATCGTAAAGCTGCTGACAATATGGTGCTAAAATACAAGGATGGGAAAATATCCCATGCCAATCACTCTGTCTCTAATGGAGTAAGGAATGGTTCAAAGTCTAGTCAACAGGTAGAGGACAATTCAGAAAACAAAATGAACAGGGAAAATTTTCTTAAATCACACCCCAAGCCCCCGCTCCCTCAAAGCCAAAGAAATGGAAAACCTCCCCTAAACCCACTGAATCCTCGACCCTATGGATTTTTAGCACAGAAAAAATTGCCCCAAAGACCATCTGCTCCAGCTAATCTGATAAGGGAAAAGTTTTTCAATGAGTCTAAAGACAGTCGTCCAGCATCTGCTGAGATGCCCAGAATTGCGTACCGACACCGATTAAAACCGTCATACGATGCCAGAATCTTCGCCATCAGAGTGGCTGATACAAGCTCAGAAAGTTCAGATGAAAGTTCCAGTGAAGAGTCACGCTGATTATATTCTTCAATTATTATCTAGAAGTAACTGTACAAAGTAAAAGATATTTTCATCACTTTCTTTATAAATGTACATTATTCCATGGTATATATACAAGTACTTGGTAGTGGGAAAATTTAATGTTATATAGAGCTTCCTAAATCTCTTGTGATATAATATGTTGACTTAATATTACTTTATAACTCAGCATGTGCATTTACATAATCTTTCTGTTATGATTGCTTATTATATTTAAGGTATGTTAAAGGTAGCATTCATTTGAAAATTAACACGGGTATAATGAGCACGGCGTATTAAAACAGTGCAAATCATGACCCCATTATACATGTAATACTGTATATCAATATCCAAAGATTCTATACTTGATTGACAGAGGCATTCAACACTTATATGTATGCTTTCTTACATTATTAGTCTTTTTAGTTCTTTTTCAAAATGGTTATTACATTGAAACGGGTACTGTATGTGAATGCAAGTAGGATTAGCTTGTGTTACTTTTTTGGAGATTTACATTAAAACGTGTATCAAATACTGAAATTGAAGAGGTTGGAATTTTTCATTATGACGGTTTCAAAAATACATTGTACTGTCCTTTATAATACAGTGTACTTGATAATGTGCGTTTTTAGAAGAATTTCAACCTCTTTAATTTCAGTATTTGAGACACATTTTCGTGCAAATTTTCTGACATAAAACTCTGAAAATGGTATGATCATCTTTTGTTCCTTTTCCTTGACAATATTGCCTTCTTTTATTAAGATGTTCCTCGATCCTGATATTCTGCTCAGCATTGTTTGTTAAGTTTATTGGTCTGTGACATTAAATCAATTTGCCTTATTTTTTGTGATACATATATTTCATCTCAAGGCAAAGGTTCTACATAAGTCATTTTTGGGAACCTGTAGGAAAATGAGAGTAAGAAAAATGCAAGGTAGATTTTTTTCAGTTTTTTGTGCCTTTGATGCTTTAGCTTACTATAGGATTAAACTCAGCTAGGTGGCTTTGCTCCCTTTGAATGGACCTGTTTTGTAAGAAATGCGAAGTATTTTTTGTTGTTTTTTTTTTTTAGACAGGATTTGCAGTTCTTAGCAGATACCTTCAATATTTGATGAGCAATGATATGCTGTAAAGTTCTTATACACAATGTATTTATTTTGTCCTTTGAAATTCAGTGGTCCTTTAACCTCATTTTAGGAAAAAAAATCAAAAGATTGGCAAGGATGGTGGCAAGTAATATATACCCTCCATGCTGGTAGCATTATAGTGGCAGCCGTTATTATGGCAGATTAGCATAGGAAAATTCTGTTTGTTTATGTTATTATTGTTGATTATGTAATGGATATATACTATTAAAATAGAACTTTTAACACACTCTTCTGTCTCTATCAAGCTGCTATATATATCTTAGATGTTGTGATCTATGTGATTTGAATAGATACAAGTTCCTTCTTATTTATAATATATTAAATGTGAACTGTGGAACACAATGGTAGTAGCCATGTATATGGTCATTCCTATGTCAGGAACTTTCATCCAATAACAATTATGCTTTATCTAGAACTTCTTAAGCAATTAAATATTCCCACTGATTATACAACATTGCTAAATATTATTTTTATTGTAGTCAAAACATCTCTCAAACAAGGACACAATATTTCACAAAGACTTAACAAAGTATTCTGACATTAATACCATTATATGCTCAGATTATTAAAAAAATTAACCTGAAAACTGACATTGTTAAGATTCCCATGCTCGTCAATGAAAAATGCAATCTGAATAAGATCAGCTGATTTTCAAGCTTCCTTAGACTGATGAAAAGTCGATCTTGGACCAAGTGACCTCAAAATCTAGGAATGGTTAAAAAATATGCAAGTTCTTACAAATAGCCTTGAGCTTTCCATGCTATTTGTATCCTCAAACTCATCTGTAGATGTGATGTTTGCAGGTCAAAATGTTTTGCATTGCATACAAGTATTATTGTCCTGCATTTTGATGAGGGGTACAGTTTATGCTTTTTGTTTGTCTTTAAGTCTGATTTTCTTAATCCTTGTACAAAGTAATTTATACAAATATTGTTTCCAAAGAAAGAACATAAAAATGCAAGTTAATTATTTAAGTGCATTCTGTACGAGTATGTTAAAGTATAAATCTAGGGCAAACATTTAACTTCAACAGTTTTCATATTGCAAATCTATAAACAACCCAAGATTTTTTTTTAACTGACAAACTATTTATATTAAACTGTCCCAGGTCAAGATTGAAATAAGCTGATTCAAGATCTGCTTTAATTAAAGCACAATTAGAACAACTTTTATCATAGAATTAAATTCATAATTCAAACTTCTTTCATGAAATAAATGTACTGATTTCTAAAAGCATTTTGTTGTTTAAATTATATTTTATTCTTAAAAAAAAAAGATGCGTCTATAATAATACTGATAATATGAAACACTATAAAGAATATAAAAATTGACCAATCAGCTTGGGCCGTACAAAGTTCTAACGATGGATAGGAGGGGTGTGATTGTGATAAATAGATAATGGAAAAAGTTTTAAAAAAAGGAAAATTAAAATATACATGTAAGAAAGAATTACAGTAATTATGAATTATGACAGATAGACTGACAGAAAGGTATGGTGATTACTGTACCACCTGCATATCCTTGTGGGGCCCTAAAAAACAGTTGAGGTAGGCATTCCATTACATGTATGGCTTAACACCGGTATGTTATTGCAGTGATTCACTTAATGTACAACTATGGTGTTGTAAGACAAAAGTGTCATTTGTGACCCTTGATTAAGAAATATAAAAAATTTACAAATAAACTATTCCTTAAATGTAACAATGTAAATAATGCTGACTATAACATATCCAACCACCTCACATATAAACACACATAAAAAATACAAATAATGACCTGTTTTTTCATTTGAGTGTCAGATTGCAGCCAAAAGGCTAAAGTCAATATACATTGTATTTTGAGAATACATTGTAAAAACCACTGCAAAGTGTATTTAAAACAAGTTTTTATTCACATCCTTTATATGCATGGCTATATCTCACACTTATGACAAACTACCATGTACTGTACCCAGAGAGTAACAAAGATGTAAAAGCCATATAAACTGATGGTGAAAATTTTCAAATTGTGTATTGTTTATCAAAAATATTTGATTAAATTAAAATGCATTGCAATAAAAATATATGGGTTTTTAAAAACAGAATAAAACACACTGGCTGTAAAACCGTCCAGTATAAAAAGCAAACATAAAACAAAAAAAGAAAATGTTAAAAAATACTGGTAACAGAAATCTAAGTAACAAAAGCCATTTTGTCAGTGCTTATGAATAAAAGTTACAACTGGAAAAAAAAAAGAAACATATTATACTTCTATACACTCAAATTGACAAAAAAGCTGACTTAACATGAAAATTTTGAATCAGAAATCTTTAACTTCATATACATGTACTTGAAGTATGTCATTTTTGGACTATGTAAATTAAATTTAATTCACTTTTTAAGAAGTGTCTGCAAAAGTCGTGAATATCACAAAATATCACAAATACTGTCATACCAGAGTAACATGACTAAAGATACTTATTATCACCAATCCTATTTAAACATCAAAAATACCATTACATCTTGATGTAAAACAAAGAACAAACCTGAGTCTCTAACACAAATTTTCCTTTCAATTTCAAAATGATGAATCCACTGAGAAATACTTTGGATCAAATTGATCAAAGCCAACTAAGAGTCCACCATCTTCTTTGACAATTACAGGGTAGACAACAGAACAAATGCCAGGTCGCTTAGGTTGCTTTAGCTGTCCTGTGTCAAGGTCAAATCTCCAGCTGTGCCAAGGACACCTCACACACAGGGAATTCCCAGGGAGTTCTTCTATGTCCCCTAAATGGAGAGGACCACCTATAATAAAGTAGAATTCAAGTAATACAATGTAGTTGTCAATATTAGTCTTAGTAGCCAAGTATTCTGTAGTAAGTTTATATGCTTATCACACCATTTGATCTGGACTATCTTTAATTGCAATTTGTTGATCCATTTAAAGAACAAACTTGAATATCAAAGAAAATCTAATGAAGTGTATGTTAAATTTTATCTTATGTAACAGGAGAGGAGAAAAATGTGACAGACCAGACCCGAATTCAAACCCGTGGCCCCTGAATCTCCAGTCAGGTGCTCTACCAACTGAACTATCTGGCCATTGGCGATCAAACCCGTCTGACCACCACATTCCTCCCTCCTTAAAGATCTTCGGCCCCTGTAGATACCAACCCAGGCTCTTCCCTGGCAGGTCTTTCACCTGTCACTTCCAGGGCATGGCACTGCACCAAATGTAACAGGAGAGGAGAAAAATGTGAGGGACCAGACCAGACTTTGAACCCAGGCCCCCTGAAACTCTAGTCAGGTGCTCTACCAACTGAGCTATCTGGCCAAAGGCGATCAAACCTGTCTGACCGCCACACTTACTTTAGGGATAATTTATAAGCACCAGTATTAATAGAACTATATAAGCAGAAAAAATATAACTTTGAAAAATACTGACATTTATTTATTTTGATCAGATAATATCTAGCAGCAGCTTGCTCTGTAAATCATATCAATTGTTCATATACCTAAATTAGTGGTGTTCCAAACTTCCAATCATCGATTATAATCGAAAATCAGTCAATTGCTGGCATAATTCAAGCGCTCGATTACAAAATTTTTATTCTGATTAATCGGTTTATTATCTTTTTTAACAAGCATAATATTCCAGCTGCAACTTATCTATCAACTTATTTGGGTATCGTAATGGCCAGAAAACAGAATTGTATCCATACCTGGGTAACAAAGCATGTTCCCGGGTAAAAATGTACATTTTATATCTGTACAGTGTATGAAGAAAAATTAAAGAAAAACAGATACACACTCAATAAAACACTCAGATGATATCCATTTATTCTTATTCAGCAAAATAAACAACAAATACATATGCAGAAAGTAGTCATTTACCCACTCTTACCATTTAATTAACTTAATTGATAGACTTTGTAAATGTCCGATTATAATCGATAATTAGTTACATAGAGTAACCCGATCATCGATTATGAAATTCTTACAGATTCCCATCACTAACCTAAATGTGGACATTTCTCCTTGATAGCATACACCTTGTTGTGGTACCTAAAGATGGCGATCTGTTGTTCGTTACATGATACAAGGGTTCCCGTCTTACTGTTCTGTCTCTTCAGACCTGGCCTTAATTGGACCGTCCTCTGCATACACTGGTATTTCTCCTCTGGTTTTGACCAGTCATAAAGTTCTGAAATAAATCAAATGCTATGCTGTACTTGACAGAAATTAAGTTGATTACAATTTCTACCTTTTTTTCCTTAATGTAGTCTTAATTTTCTTTTTTTTTTATTAATTATCCGTTATACAAAATACCGTGGAAGCTAATGTCTAAGGGAAGGTATATTTTCTGGTCATCTTGCATTTTTCCCTCCCATTTTTGTTTACATTTTTCTAATATAAATCTTGATCCCGATGTTATTACATTTAAGAAAAGAAAATGACAAGAAAAGGTATACTTATAAAATTGTAAAAAGCAAGGAATACCGGTTTTAGCATATACATACATATTAATGTACTGAAATAAAGAAAAAGAATCAAAATAATAAAAAAAAAAAAAAAAAATGTATGCACATCGGGCTAGATTTACGATTTGGTTCTTATTTTATTATTGTTCCGGAATACTGAGAAAAGAGCGAGAAACTGGTAAAGGTTATAAGATAATATCACTGGTACTAGAACGCTGTTGTAGGGTTAGAATGGTGTCATCATAGTAAGATTTTATCTTTAAATGAGCATTAACTTTTAATAAGCTCGTTAAATCTGTACTTGCATATGGGACAATTTCAATTTGAATTTCCTCTGCGTGCTGGCATAGTTGCGATCACTTTGATGTCCTTGTTTCAAGGCATTTCCATAACTTTCACTTTTAGCTGCCAAAAATGGTACATAAAGATGCAATTTTAATCATGAGCACATTCTCAATAAAATAATAATTCAGCATACTAAAAATCATAAATGAACTTAGTCTTAGGATTGTGTGTGTGTGCAGAATTTTATGGCTCTTAATATTGAATAAAATCTCTCAATTCTAAAATAATGAATGTTAAATTAAGTTAAGATACATGTATGTCAACTCTTGGACTACAAGTATTTTTCCAGTGGTATACAACAAATCTCAACACTCTGTCACAGACAAAAATGCCTGTCAACTTTTCTGAAAGTAAAGAAAATAAGGAACACTTCTAGTATACCGGTCCCTATAGATATGGCGCTAAAATAGGTGCCGCCAAAGGCAGTGTACAATATAATACGAACGCGTGAGCGATCGACAAAATTGATAAAAAAAAAGGCCACAAATCGCAAAATTGAGCCAAAAATCGTGTTCCTTGTGAAAAATTGGGTTTAAAAAACTGGTTTTTAAACAGTTTTTTAAATGAGAATTAAACGGTTTCGTAAAATAACGTACTTGTTTAGTAGATAAAACTCCATTTTGCGTTGTTTAGGAATGTGGTCACATGATCAGTTTTTGACATAATCTCATAAATATTCATGACGTGCGTCACTTGTGTTTTGACGTAATGAAGACTGATGAAGAAGTAACTGATAGGACTCGAAGTGAAATGCTACTAAAATTGGGAGATTTTGTGAGAAATGCAGGGATTTAACAAGTGATAACTAATTACTAGTAATTGGTTGATTGAATTGTGCATCACCATTAATTTGAAAGAAAAAATATTCTGAATATGGACATTATGAGGTTAGGATATTGAGCTTAAGTTAAGGGTAAGTTACCAATTACTTGCCAAAACTTAGCGCACAATGTTGGGCATGTTTCAACATTAAACCAAGGCTAATTCATCCAAGTTTCGGAAAACTTTCCTGTTCTTTGTAAGCAAAAATTGCATGAATAAGCCCAAAGTGATATAGATGCGAGCATGGGTGAATATAAAACAGTTACAATATCCAAGCTATATATACTCTAACCCTAAGACGTAGATCGCATACAATGCCATATTTAATTAACGGTTTGTTTAAGTTTTGCATATTTCATGCTTTACTCCTATGAGATGGTATATCGGCACGGTTCGACTTTAGGCTGATTCATGCAAGTTTTTGGTCACAAAAGGCACTTGGCAGTGCCTTTTGTAAGCAAAAATTACATGAATTAGCCCAAAGTCGTGAAGATTTAAGGGTGGATTTATAACACAGTTCCAATCTTAAAACAATATACCCTAACAGTAACCCTAATCACTCGATCGAATGCGTTTTGTTGAACGGCAAGGGAAATAACTGCTCATGTGCAATCGCGTGATTCTTGGGACCGGCATACTAGAAACTTCCCGAAAATAATCTTAGTCTATAAGTATAACTGACTCAGTCCACTATTAACTCAGCCAATTACAGACTCAGCCTATCACAAGAAATATGGAAATTCATTAAGAAAAACTTTGATGATTTGGACCTAAATGGGTGACAGTGATTGGTATACTACAGATGTAGAATGCTCGATTTTAATTAAATCCATTTAAAACTGAAATGCCTTTACATCAGAGTATATACTAAAGCATGCATAATCTTATTTTAAAAAACTAAGACTTTTACTAGAAGAGAAAGCATGTTCTAAATTTAAGGGTCATATCACTTTGTCCATCTGTATGTATGTATGCCTGAATGTGTGTTTTTTAAGTCCTTTTAATTAACAGCCTTTCCATGATTAATGCCATAATGCATTATGTATTTGGAGAAATAAAAACTCTGCCACTTGAAATAAGAATTTTGATTTATTTTTTTAATATGCCATACATTAACCATCTTTCTTAAATCATTATTATACATTATGTACTTTGAAAAATTTCATTTGAACTTTAGTTATTGCCATGGACTTAGAATGTTATAGGTTGAGTCTTGGTAGACTGACTTAATAATGGTTTAAATCAGTTACATGCTGAATTAGTTATAGATCAAAATCTGAAGTAATCATTTTCCCTACTATATTTGAAGATGTCTGTATAAAACTAAAAGTATAATTATACTTAACCACAGACATGGGAATCTTCTGTAATTTCAACCTAAAGGTGTTGGTTTCCATTTTCCTACACAGACAATTCAACTTGATCTTAGATGAGAGCATTAAGCAAAAGATTTTTTTCACAATAAATATTCAGAACATTTTTGATTGTTTTGAAATATGAAGCGGATAATAAAAGCAACTAATTTGAAATTCATTATTTATATTTCCCTTTTGAAGAATAATGACGATGACAGACTTGGACCCAATCTTTGTCAAGGCTCTGAGACTGCTTCATTCTAAGAGCAAGGACTCAGCTGATCAACTCAAACAATTACTGGATGATGTGCTACATACAAAGAAGGGTCAGAAGGTAGTAAAGCACTCATGTACTCACTGCTAGTGTATAATGATAAAATCACTGCTCAGAAAGTTTATTTTAGTCCACATGATACCAGTAGTTACCATACTGTAAAATGACATGTTTAAGTGGGGTCAATTTTTGTGTTTTGAGGTATGTATGTGGGTTCATTAGGATTAAATTTTATGGATGCAGAATTGTTGAGTAGTTATGTACAGTTGAACTTTGGTATCTCGAACAGGGATATTTTGAATGCCATGGATATGTCGAAGTTATTTTGAAGTCCCAACTGCTTATTCCTTAACTTAAGTATTTTACCCTAGATATCTTGAATCCTTGGTTATCTCGAAGTATTTTCTTGGTCCCATTGAGTTCGAGATAATGAGATTTGACTGTATATGAAATTTTACATTTTATGATGGACATGAATTTGTGGTTCTCTTCATACCTCAAAAACAATGAAAAATTCCCACACGAAAATTAGTGATTTTACAGTATTTTGTTAAATCATAATTTTGATGACTTTTCAGTTGCCATTAGAAAATGTCAGGTAGATTGTTTTCTTTTAAAAGCTTACTCAATATCTGTAATTATTTATTCTCAGGGAGGATCAAGTTCTGATTCCAGATCGTCTTCTAAATCATCACAAAAAGAAAAAGATGACAGCAAGTCAAAGAAACGAGAAGCTGAAAAACGGAGCATTGACAAGGTTATTAACTTGTCCATTAATGTCTTGGAAATTTTCAGAAATGAAATTAGCACAAAAAGATAAATGCAACCTTGAAAACTGCTTTTCTTTACTTCCAGAGAACTATCAGCCAGATGATTTGCATAATTTTCTTCAAAATTTGAATATTTAAATAATGGGTTCAGGCACCAGGGTGGGGCTAAGTTGGTCATTTATTGAAATTGCATGATGTCCTGAAAATTATTCTTGACATCTGAGCTAAATAATCTTTACTTGATAATAACAACGAACAATGTCCCCAAGAACAGATTTTGTTAAATTTTTGTCTCTATGTGAGGGGCGAGGTCTTAAAATAGGGCAAACGTGAAAAGAATTTCTAAAAAAAAATATTATAATCTTGGTAATGGTTATCTTTTTTCTCACAGAAGTTTATTGGGTTTTTTTTCATGTATACACAAATCCAAGCCCTTTGCAAATAAAATAAAGGTCATACAGCTGTTATATACAAAAGACAATGTTTGCCCTTTTACATGCA